ATGTGCTGATTTTGTCTAATCATTTTTAAAAACATTCCAGTTGTTTAGGTTATTTACTCACCTCAGTAGCTTAACATAATTCACAAACATATTCATATAACTATATATCCCTTCAGGTAGATCATTTACATTTGCAATGAACATCACTGGCAGTGGTACAAAGACTGTGGGACTCCACTAGTGATATTCCTCCGTGTGTGCATGTGTATATGAAAAACTAATTTGATTTCTACTCAGGAAGGTATAAAAACTTTGTACAGATAGATTTGAAACCCAAGTCAGAAAGACAGGCACTAACACTACAAGCTCTGCAGATGTAGTTGTAGTAACTTTTAAAGATGCTTTAGAGATGAGAATCTTATGCAAAACTTGTCAAAATTTACATTTGCTTTGCCTAGTATTTTCAGATAATAAATATACTTTTATGGAGGAGCTTCTAGTGGCTTCCTGAAGCTATTTTGCTGAGATGGCTCTCCCCAGTTGGGTAATATCAGTCATAGGCATCCTGAATGGCCTACTAAGGACTAAACCCAGAACCTGGACCTTACCCTCACAGAGGTACAGGGAACAGGGAATTGTTCCTACTGCTACAGCATCCCAAGCCACAAGTTTGTTGCTTTGGACACTGTATTCGATAACATGTGGGCTGCTACTCGGGTTCGGGGGTTTTGGAGGCCTGTCTCCTCCTTCTTGGTAGGTCCAATATTTTTTCCATCTTCTCTGTTGTTAGATAGCTTCAGGGAGTTAACAAAGATTCCAGAAAACCAACATTTAATATAATGAAATGCATCTTTCCAGTAGGGCCTCAGTAGCTCGCTGATTCCCTACCCCCACCCTTACCATGTGCATCTGTTCATAGTTTATCAGCTTTGGACTGATTTATTGCAGGTGAGGGAGCCTAGAGCTCCCAGGGTGCAATCTGTTGGCAGCCATTTGCACTATGATGTTTGAGCTCGTTATGAGTGAATCATTTGGGTCTGAATTGATTGGGGAATCATTTGGCCGTTTCAATTTTGTGTTTTCTGTGAACTTAGCAGTTGTCCATATTACATTATTTCTGGGTGCCTTTTCAGTGAGGGTAATCATAACAATTGCCTGTTCCCTGTGCCTCTGTGAGGGAGCCAGGTTCTGGCTCTGGTTCCCACTAGGTCATACAGGACTCAAACAGCTGATTTGACAATAGTAGGGAGAAACCATCTCAGCAAGCTCTTCAGGGAGCTACCAAGGCCCAACCATAAAGATGTATTTCATTACATTCAACTCTGGCTCTTTTAATCTTCAGCATTTATTAAAGTTCATTTATAGAGTGACGATCTAATTATCATTTATCACCTCTGAAACTTCAGTACCAACAATTATCTTAATTACGATCTATTAAGCACAGCAAATTTGTGTTTATGGTGGGCAGTCAAGGAAAAATGGGCCTGGTAATCATGAATCTAAGTTAACCTGTAATCTGTAAGGCTCGGGAGGAGCTTGAAGTGTTTGGCTATATATTTACCACCTAGGCATAAGATAAGCATCTTATTGCTTCGTAATTACAATTATTACTTAACCTATACCTATTATAGGTTAGGTAATAATTATAATTACGAAGCTATAAGATGCTTATCTTAAGATACTAACAAGGTTAGGTAAGGTCGGTGTTTTCTATGAATCTTTTTAAGGGTATCTATTATGTTAAGTATGTCACCTATGCACATATTTAATAAGTCAATATTGACTTATTAAATTTGCGAGAACGGGTTGACCTAGGAGGGGTAGTATATGTGTAGCATTGTGCTACTTAAGCAGATTTACTCAAAACATTGTAATTTATGACTGGTAAAAATAAAATCACTAGAATTATATGTAAACTCTGTAACATAACCATTACATATTTTTTCAAATAATCTAAATATGAAGTACAGTATTTACATAATTTGACTCACAATGTCCATCAAGTAAATTCAGGCAAATACACAGTGAAGGGTCGGTTTCCTGAATTTTACAAAAACTTCTAAAAAAGTATGTCTGCTTAATCATCACCGAAAGAGATCATAGCTCTGAATTTATCATCAACATTTAAATTTACAATGGTGATGAAACAAACAAAAAAATACACACTCACATGAAGCCAACTTAATCTTTCACATATCTGTGAAATTAAGAATATCTAGCAAAACAAGAATACACAAACCACCTTTTTGCACCACCACAGGAATACTTCCTTGTTGACTATTAGTGACATGAAACCAAGGACTGAACTGACACTTCCCTCAAGTTATTGTCAAATCCTTGTTTGTTTGCTTCACTACTGGCAAAAATGATGCTGTTAGTCATTGTGAATACCAGGAGAGGGTGAGGGGCTACATGACTGGCAAACAAAGCACAACAACAGATCTCACAGACTTGTGAGATAACTTGTGTTCCCAACATATAATGTGAGAGACACCGGAAGCCACAACTATAAGCTTGCCTGGTAACCTTGCAGAACACACACACCAAGAGTAACTTCTGCTCTATGAGTAATAAAGGATATAACCATTGGGTAAACCAGTAATTTAGACAGAAAACAAGTTGCCCATGAAAGACTAAGATAAAGAATTGTCAAGACAGCTGTGCTTGTTTGCCTTTCCAAATACTGTAACATCAAGCAACAGGATGTAAGAATAGCAAATGAAATCCCTGAACCTCTGAATTGCTAAATGTGGTTATGAAGTTATAAAGTGGGATGTAGGATTTGCAAGTTCAAGATCAAGAACCTGAATGTTCATCGTTACCTATAAAATCAGCTAAAAAAAAAATGTGTTTACACTATCTTTATGAGGAGAGTTGAATAATATTATCAATAACCAGTAGTCACACTGGTCAGATTGAGTCTTAAAGGTCAAACCTACAGCTTTATACTAGCCATAAATGTCATGTTAAGAGGAAAGTGAAATACATGAAACCAGTTAACTTGTTCATTTGTAGAACCTAATGTATATACAGTATTTAATTCACTAATTATTGGTGTCTTTTTTTCAGTTTATATTGGTTTGAATTGTGTTAGAATTTCATTATCACTAGCAATCATTAACAAAACAGCTTTGTTTAAGTCTCATAATATATCAGTTAGAAAGGTTTGATACCTAATAGGAAATAAGCACCATAAGGCAACAGAAATCAGTATCAGAAGAGAGAAGCAGCTTTGGAAAAAAGGAAATATGTACATGCCATTCTGGATACAACAGGGTTACTTGTGAGACAAGTCATTCTTTGTATTACAACGCTATCTTTTTCCATTAAATACCTTCAATATGCAATGTAGTTGAGCTTCAAATGCATTCTGAAGCTTTCAGAAGAATATCAACTTTGTCTCAAGTTCAACAGTGCCTTGCATGCTACAGAAATGGAGGCAGTTAATGAGCATTCATAAGTAGACTTCTTCAGTATCACTTAAGTTTCATAATTATCATAGTTTTGGATATTTAATAAGGATCAGTATATAAATATGTCCTTTTTATCATTTCTGATTCACTACCTGAGCTGCAATCTTGAGGGAAAACAATGAACCAAAATAGCACCCAAATAAGCACATATTGACCTTGAGTAAAACTTCAAGATTGTAGCCCAATTTAGAGGACAGCGCAGCAAAATATAAACATCAAAACTGTGTTAGAGTTAAGCTTCTAGAAGATGTGATTACACACGTAAAGTAGGTCATCAGTGGCCACCTTCTCCACAGTAGTTCGAGCGACTTCCAGGGGCCAAAGGGAAGTCATAGTCTGTGTTCAGGTAGAGTGCTTAAAATACTCAGTCTGAGCTCCTCACCTAAATCTACATTTTTATTTGTATAAAAGTTTTTCATATATATATCATGCACATTCTTAGTTCTAAATTCTAAATATAATCTCACATTTACAAAAATATTAATTTATGATGATTTTTTAAATACACCTTTGCCTCCACTTTTTAATGGACTAAGTTAACTCTTACAAAACTGTATAAATGTTTTAAAATAAACTAATAATCAATCACTTTTCTCAGACAAAAATATATTTAAACACTCATCCTGCCATAGAAAGAGCCAAAGCCTAAGACAACAACACGGGACATGTTTTTGACGACGGGAAGGGATGACTTATTCCTTGAGTTTGCCGCCTCGTATGAGTCGTTGGTGCTCTGCCTCCACTCGCTGACTCACCACTACGTAGGCCTGTATCCCAGTCTGTTCGTGACCTAGCCCATACGCTGTGAAATCTGAGAATATGAGCTGAAAAAAAGCAAATAAACAGGGCCTCAGGTTGATGGTGGTTGGTGCAGGTGAGAGATGAAGACCAGACAGATAGAATGAGGCTTCAGGTCAATCTGACACTAGATGCCCATATTCCTGGTTCTATTATTTCTACAGCTGAAGCACGTATCTATACTTTAGTGATGTCATCTGCTAATATTCTCCTAAGAATTGATGACCAGTCTAGTTCTATCTTCTGGAAAGGAAACTGAGGGTAGGACAGAAGCAACATGGGATAGGAGATAAATGGCCACAGGGGGAAGGATGGAAAGGCAAAAAGAAAAGAAACTATAAAATTTGCATAGCATCGTTTTCAAGGGAAAAATGAAAATATATCTTATATATGCAATTATTTCTGTAATTATAAAATAGTGCTATATATTATGAAGCATATTAAAATAATAACATTTGTCTATCAAAATTACATTTTTCCCAAGAAAATATAACTTCTTAACATGTGACATACTAAAAGGGTAACTTATTTGCTAACTAGTGCAAATCCATTTCCGATTCAATTACAGTGGAAAACTTTAAATTCATACTCTGCAACAATTTTTCTACTGAACAAAACATAATTCAAATAACTAAATGAAACTGAAACTGCTTGTGCAATCAACCTCAATCAACATAGCATTAGGAAGTGTTTAAAAAGATGCAAAATAAATGCTAGGGAACACTTATAGAAAGTAAAATATACTCACTGTTTGTGAAAGTCCATCCTCTTCATGGACACCTAACTCACCTTAACAATATGGGCAAGACAAGTGCACTGATATGGATGGAGATTGTGATCTAGTCTCTCACTCAGCCATGAACACAGCATTGTCACCTGTGCTGCATACCACTGCTGTCAAGCCAAAACGTAAGATCATAATCTACTCAAAATTGCATTATCTACCAAAGTTCAGTGTCTCTCTCCTGTTATAAATTAATTTAAAAATTATATATCAAGTTATTGGTATTTAATAATATTATATATACACTGCACTCTCGATCAAATGGACTAATTCTTACTCGAGCCCACCTGGTATACTGTATTTGAAATACTATTGCAAGTAATATCAGAAATACCATCTTTTGATAAATTTTGCATATTTTTAAGAACAATTACTGTACTACTATTATTTTTTTTACTAAAAACAATGCAAAATTGTATGTACAGTATATCATAAAATTTTAACAGACAAAACTGAATGACATAAAAGAATATGTTTTAATACAGTGAATTCTCACTTATTCCACACAATTTCTGTTCCCTCCTACGAATTCTCAGTGGAATGCCAATGTTAATTAAAAGAGTGGGAAAAGTAGCATCATTCACAGAAACATATTGGTGCAGGCACTGAGGTAAGATTCAAGTATTGGAGGGAGTGACCTCTGACTGCATGGTCTTGCAGTTTGAGAAGAAGGTTATTGTGGTTAACAATATACAACTTAATATATATAGGTTATAACTTAAATATACCATTTGACACCCACAGGCGCATACAAAAAAAAAAAAATTCTTCCTAATCTGTTAATTTGTGTTCACTGATCATGGGAAAAATAATAAAAAAATCGTAAGTGGCATATATTGCCCGCTATAGGGCGGGGAAGTCTGGCAAAAAACAGGCGCTGGCTCAGCATGCGTCCCAGGCGGTCTGTTGCTTTCCAGCTGTCAGGCCGGAGTTGCCAGAAAGAGATAATTACCTAATTATTTCAATGTCTCTTGATTGATTTTTTGTATTTATTTTTGCTGTAATATTATTCAATAGTGTGTAGTGTAATATATTTATAGAATAAAATGAGTGAATCATCGCTGTACTCAAAAATATGGTGTGCATATTTTTTATTCAATTATGTTCATCAAACAGTGAACAAATACTTTGTCGGCTATTACACTATATACTGTACACAGGTTATATATAAGTATCTGCATGTTTTGTTCACCATAACGAACCACTGAGTTGCTATTATAAGTCAAAAAGTAACGAGAAGTGACTGCCGTGTACCAGCCAGCCACTCACTCCCTCCCTCAAGTTACCTGACTCACCCACATTCTCCTCCCACAATACTGTTTTTGCTTTTATTCACTATATACAGACGCTATATATAAGGATCTACATTCATGTTCACCATAACGAACCACTAAGTTGGTATGCTAGAGTGGCAGTGGCAGTGGCAACCAGTGGCAGCCCGCCACTGGCTGCCACTCCCTCCCTCCCTCACCTCACCTGACATGCCACCATTCTCTACCCACCATACTGTTTTTGCTTTTATATACAGACGTTATATATAAGTATTTACATGTTTTGTTCACCATAACTGTACATCTAAGCTTGTATGGTGAGTAAAGGTACAAAGACGTAGGACCTCACACAGTCAGCTGATGGCTGCCGCCCTCAAGGCCAGACACACTAATATTTCTCCTCCAACAATACTGTGTGGTGTTATTACGCTATACACACACATTATATATAAATATCTACCTGTTTTATTCACCATACTTGTACAAGTAAACTGGTATGGTGCCCAAAGACCATCGTGGTCATCAGTAAACAACATGATAAATCGTGCAGACGACGCCACTGCCCTCACCAAAATGGCGGCTCCCAACCTACTCCTCTTGCTGTTTATACTCTCTATACACACGTTTATATATAAGTATCTACATTTGTGTTCACCATAGCAAACCACTAAGCTGGTATGGTGAGTGCAGTCAATAAAAGGTGGCCACACACAGTCAGAAGACAACGCCACCATCCTCCCTCCCACATCATTACTCCTCCCTCCATGGAGCACAGCGCTAAATATCACCACAATCCTGCTATTATCAGAACCCTGGTCAGTTTTATCACAGTCAGTGGTCTTCTCTAATAATATCATCGCTACATAATAACATGAACAAGTATATTTTGGCATTTTTAGGTGACGCTGTGGTCACAAGCTGAACAGCAGTGCTGTGAGCTCATGCTGCGTGCATCAGGCTTGGTAGCTCACTCAATACTGAGGCCCCTAACACCCGGGAATTTGGGCCACGATTTAAAAAAAAAAATGGCGTCTGTTTACAAGAGTCCTGATGAAGGTGTGGTGAACCCAGTGTATCCGTGGGCCGTTTAAATCTTGCATAGTATTCCAAAGCATCACATGATGCGATGCGCAATTTACTGCAAGTCAGTCCAAGCATCATATGATGCGATGCGCAATTTAAGGGTTAAGGAAGCAATCATCAACTAAGTCTAAAAGTTTTATAAAAATTTAATTTTCTAAAAGATGTCTGCAAAATCAAAAGAAATGGAATGCTCAGCTTAGATGTGTATTCTTTCAGAACCCAAGGTGAAACTCCATCTGGGCCAATTGCCTTATTTCTTCCTAGCTTCTCCTGTAATTTTTCTACTTCATCTCAAGACACCTCAACTTTGGCAGCAGGATGCTGCTTCTAGAAACTTTCCTTTTTAAAACTGTTCATAGCCCAGTCGATAGTGCTATGACTTCACACATGTGGGGTCCATGGTTCGAGACCCATACAGCCCAGATGTGTGTGTATGTATGTATGTATATATATATATATATATATATATATATATATATATATATATATATATATATATATATATATATATATATATATATATATATATATATACAGTGGTACCTCGGAATGCGAGTGTCTCTGTATGCGAGTTTTTCGGAAGACGAGCAGGATTTACTCCAAAAATATGTCTCGGAAGGCGAGGGTTACCTCGGGACGCGAGTTTGTTGATACGTGTACAGGCCGACTGGCGCGTGGTGGCATGGCGATCGCGCCTCAGTTTACCAGTGTCTCGTGTCCAGTGACTATCCCACCTGAATTCTTCACAAGGATTTACAGTTTTTTATCGTTTTTTTGGCCATTTGAGCATAAAAGTTGTCATTATATATCTTGCCATGGGTCTCAAGAAAGCCATTGGTAAGGTTCAACCTAAGAAAATAGCTGTGAGTAGAGGCAGTAGAGGATGTCCCTTCTTGATTAAGAAAATGTGTGAAGTATGGGAAGAACTGCAAAGTTTTGTTGAAAAAACTCACCCAGATAAAGCTGTAGCAGGCCGTTGCATTGACCTTTTAAATAATAATGTGATGTCTTACTACAGACAAGTGTTAAAATGTTGGGAAAAACAAGTGTCATTAGACAAATTCTTAGTAAAACAAGCAAGTCCTAGTGGTATGCAGGCAAAATGTGCCAGTGTGCATACCAGTGAAGTCCTCACTGCCTGATGTGATAATGGAAGGGGACTTCCCTTCCAAACAGTAACTCCTCTCTTCCTCCCCCCTCCTCACCATCTTCCATACGCCTACAGCATTCAACAGCAAGGTAAGTAATAACTTGAACATAGTTTTGCAGGTTTATTTAGATGAATTAGGTATAAAAATTTAGTTTGATGTGGGGTTTTTGGGGTAGTCAGGAACGGATTAATTCATTTCCCTTTATTTCTTATGGGGAAATTAGCTTCGGAATGCGAGTTTTCGGAATACGAGGCGTCTCCAGGAACCAATTAAACTCTTAAACTGAGGTATGCCTGTATGTATGTATGTATGTATGTATGTATATATATATATATATATATATATATATATATATATATATATATATATATATATATATATATATATATATGTGTGTATATCACGAAAATAAACACGTGATTAAGAATGTGACAATGTCAGACCACGGAGGAAAAATGAAACAGGAAATTTCCTTAAGTACTTTCGTATATTAAATACATCTTCAGAAGGTCATTTTACAGATCGAGTGATGGGTATAAATAGGCAGGAAGGAGTGGTGAAGTAAGGTGAGGTACAATACTTGGACAACGCAGACGGCCCATTGGCCCATCAGATGCACCCAATTGGCACATCCGATGTAGCCCAATGGCCGATCTGATACAGCAGACATACAAGCATAATATATAGGTAATTATAACATAAAGAAGTAAATATATACAATAAATTAGTGAGACAAATGTTTTTCAATGATTCTACTTAAATCGCCCTTTAGCTGATCTATTAGAAATGGATCTAAGTTATATAGACCACTGCTAATATTCAAATTACTTTCTTTGGTGATCTGTATCAAAGCAGATTCAATTATGTTTCTGTTATAGGTGCTTTTACAATTTGTTATTGAAGAAGCACTCTCCCAATCAATTTGATGAGCTTTTTCTGACAAATGCACAAACAAAGCATTAGACAATTGGCCATGTCTTACAGAGTATTTATGTTGCGATATTCTACATTTTAAATCTTTAGATGTTTGCCCGACATAGAACTTGTTACATTCCTTACAAGGTATTTTATAAATGACGCAATTATCACTACGAGGGCTGTTCCTTACTAATAGCTTACCAACAGTGTTTTCGTAGCTAAACATTATATATATATATATATATATATATATATATATATATATATATATATATATATATATATATATATATATATATATATATATATAACACCTCTATGTATTCTATAGTGTTCTCTGAAATTAGCAGTGCTACATATCAGTGCAGTTAGCTACAGGGAGCTACTGAGGTCACCCCCACCCCTCACAAAAAGAGGTGCTTCATTACATTAAATGCTGGCTTTTGAGTGTGGGTCACTCCCGACATAGTCTAATAAAAGTTCAAGGATTGTACACACAGTAATTCATACAAATTACTTTAAATAGCATAAATAGTTTAGCAACTTACCTCAAAAAGGTTGAGAATCCAAAGTTCATCATTGACTTTTTGTCTGATCTGGTCCATGGAATTTCTTGCAAAGTTAATATATGCTTTTCCTAGTTCCTTTCCTGAACCACTCACATTCTGATGGTACTGAAAGATAGCACACAGACAGTCCAATAATAAACACAAACAAAACCTACAAAAACCTGACTACCCTTGGTGATACTGAAGAGAAATAAGGCAAATTAATTTGTTTGTACTCTTAACAACAAATACAAATAAAAATATGGTTGAAATCCACATGCAATAAAATTAAGAGGAAACAAAATATAAGTTGATAAACAGTGTATTATTACACTTTTATTACACCATTATAACATGAAAATTAACTCTATAAAAAATATATATATATATATATATATATATATATATATATATATATATATATATATATATATATATATATATATATATATATATATATATATATATATATATATATATATATATATATATATGTCGTACCTAGTAGCCAGAACGCACTTCTCAGCCTACTATGCAAGGCCCTATTTGCCTAATAAGCCAAGTTTTCCTGAAATAATATATTTTCTCTATTTTTTTTCTTATGAAATGATAAAGCTACCCATTTCATTATGTATGAGGTCAATTTTTTTTATTGGAGTTAAAATTAACGTAGATATATGACCGAACCTAACCAACCCTACCTAACCTAACCTAACCTATTTTTATAGGTTAGGTTAGGTTAGGTAGCCGAAAAAGTTAGGTTAGGTTAGGTAGGTTAGGTAGGCGAAAAAACATTAATTCATGAAAACTAGGCTTATTAGGCAAATCGGGCCTTGCATAGTAAGCTGAGAAGTGTGTTCTGGCTACTAGGTACGACATTATATATATATATATATATATATATATATATATATATATATATATATATATATATATATATATATGTATGTATATATATATGCAGTGGAACCTCTATTAACGAGTGGCTCTTTTAACGAGTTTTTCCATTTTTTTCCAGTAACGAGCAAGCCACTCGCAGCAAATTTGTCTCTATTGACGAGCTCATCTCTATTAACGAGTGAAACCACATGGCGCTTCCTAGTGTCTCGTGGGTTCTCGCAAATTCTCGGACGCCTCCGACGCCAGTGTTGTTGTTGTATCTCACACGACAAGCATCCCTCTGGATTTATTTGAGCTTTTCTTTGGGTTTTTAGTGGTTTTGTGACTACAATTTGTAACACACGATGTCTCCAAAGAAGCTGCTTGCTAAAGATAGTGTTGTCAAGTGGAAGAAAGACACAATTACTGTGGATTTAAAGAAGGAAATCATAGCAAAGCATGAGTGTGGTGTCTGTGTGAATGATCTCACAAGGAAGTATGGCAGGTCCTCATCAACAATTTACACCATTAGTAAGGGAATGAGGAGGTAAGGGAGGATGCTGCCTCTTCCACTGAGATCAGGGAAATGTTTGGAATGTTTGAAAGGGTGAACGCATTCTTGGAAAAGCTGCCCTGATAAAGCAGTGACAACCCGGTGTGTGAAAATGTTTAATTAATTTATCACTTTGTGATAACACTTTATGAAAGTGTTATCACTTTCACAGGTATATGTCGCTTGAACGTAACACACTTTTTTTCTCTTGAATGCACCCAAACACCGCGCTCAAGCGTCATTTGGGCAAATATTTCTATAAAATCCAATTCTTATCCGATCGACTTGGGGATTGTATACATGTTTGCCATGAAATTTCCGTTTTCTTTAATAACCACATTGCCTATTTGAGAAAACGGCATTGTATTGTATCTTCGTGGTAAGACTATTATATTGTTGACACAACGAGTGTAATCAACAGTTTTTTATTTGGTGCTGGTCTAACGCATCCTTGTGTGACATTTGAAATGAAATTTGGGTGAAATTCCCAAGAAGAGAGAGTCCGCCTGACTCAGAGGTGGATTCTCCTTCCACACCATAACCCCTCTCATCCTTCCCACCTCCCCATCGTCTCCCTCAAGCCAGCAACTACTCTTCATAAGGTAAAGTAAATATTAAAACACTACAACAAAACATTTATATTTACATGTGCAATATTATATTTACATAAAAAAAAGTCATACAAGTATGGATGTTTTTGGGAGTGGAACGGATTAAATTTATTTCCTTTATTTTAAATGGGGAAATTTGTTTCCAAAGACGAGTTTTCCAGGTAACGAGCTCGGTGCCAGAACGGATTAAACTCGTTAATAGAGGTTCCACTGTATGTATATATATATATATGTCGTACCTAGTAGCCAGAACTCACTTTTTGGCCTACTATGCATGGCCCGATTTGCCTAATAAGCCAAGTTTTCATGAATTAATTGTTTTTCGACTACCTAACCTACCTAACCTAACCTAACCTAACTTTTTCGGCTACCTAACCAAACCTAACCTATAAAGATAGGTTAGGTTAGGTTAGGTAGGGTTGGTTAGGTTCGGTCATATATCTACGTTAATTTTAACTCCAATAAAAAAAAATTGACCTCATACATAATGAAATGGGTAGCTTTATCATTTCATAAGAAAAAAATTAGAAAAAATATATTAATTCAGGAAAACTTGGCTTATTAGGCTAATCGGGCCATGCATAGTAGGCCAAAAAGTGAGTTCTGGCTACTAGGTACGACATATATATATATATATATATATATATATATATATATATATATATATATATATATATTATATTAGTGTATTTTGGTAGCAGTCTTTCCTGTAGACATATATTATTAAATATGACCGAAAAAGTAAGATTAATAATTCATAGGAATGTGCCTAAATGCCAACAGCGACTGCCCATTATTAATATTAATATCAGATTGGAGGTTTGCTGTGTCCTCTACATTGTTTACTCATGAATATTTTAGTGTCATCTGCAAAGGATGATACAGAGCTATAATTTGTATGCTTGTCTGTCTGATATGAGGATGAGAAAAGATACTGGGACAAGCACAGTACTTTAACTTTGTTGAGTATTTCACAAAGCTGATGAATATTGTTTTGGGTTCTGTATATTAGAAAGTTAAAGATCATTCTCCCTGTTTTTCCAGTAATTCCTTTTGTGCACATTCTATGTACAATAACACTATGGTCACATTTGTTGAAAACTTTTGCAAAATCTGTGTATATTACATCAGCATTTTGCTTGTTTTACCTGGTATCTAAGGCCATGTAATAGAGGTTTACCAATTGTGAGAGGCAGAGGTGCCCTGTCCGAAAATTACGTTGCCCAGGGTTATGTATGCACTGTGATTCCATGTGTTTTGTGATCTTACTTCCTAGCACTCTTTTTTTTTTTTTTTAAGAATTTTTTGATGTGAAATATTTGCATGCTATTGGCTTATTAATTTTTGCCTCTGCATTACTACCTATTTTGTAAAGTGGCATGATCTCCACTGTTTCAGGTATGTCGGGGAATACAGCACTCTGCACTCTTATTGTGGAGCACTGGCAAGTGGGTACATATCTTGTTTTCTGTTTGTGTTTATTTGTGCCTTTCAGTTGCCTGTTTTGTCTTGCTCACCTTTCAGGCAGCTATTTCCTTGGTTAGAGTGATTTAGCATCCTCTGCTCTCTGCACCTCTGTGAGCGAATCAGATTTTGGCCTCTGGTTTATGGACGGCTATTAATGACTCGCAATGGCTTGATGCAATTTGATAGTTGTTGATCTATCTGGAATCTTTCCCAGAAATTAGCTGTGTACTGAAAATTCTGGTTATTTAGTATCCAATTTATTTTAACATTTTTGCTTTTCCCTTATTGTATTCACATATCTGGAGAAAATACTGACACCTGCACGTACCGTAAATGAAAGAATTGAGCCGATGAAACTTCCCTCATCATATCTGCTTAGTTTAGAGATGACAGACTCTAATACTGACAGAAGTTTAGCAACCATTCCTTGAGTCATAGAGCTACTAGTTCTCTCGATGAGGTCATCGATTTTGGTATGATATTGGTGCTGAAAAAAAATTGAAAGCATTTAAGGATACTGTAAATGGAAAAAAGAAACAAAATATAACATGAAAGAACTAAACACACTGGCAATATTTATAGGTCTGTAAAGATATTATCCCACATACAGTACTATAAATGTTTATCATTAAAATTTTAGGAAGTGATGAGTTATACAAATTATATTGCTGGAGAAGCATACAAAATCTGTACAGAAACCTGAAACTGAAGCCTCTTCATCAGTGAATTCCACATCTCCAGCAACATTCATGCTTGTTAATCTTTAATAAATTTGCAAAAAAAATATTACCCAATTCCAAGCATTCTTATTAAATTTTTAGCAGGTTAATATAATTTTCAAAACCTCTCCACTAGGGACAGTTAATAAAGATAATCAGAATATATAGAATGTCATATGTAATGAAACTCTGCTTCCTGTGCGGCCTTCTTGGCAGCCCTGAGAGCTATGGAACTGGTATGACAGAACCCTCTATTCATATTACTTCCCTTGAGATTTGCATGGCCTACTGGGAACCAGAAACAGAATCAGGTTACCTCAATGATAGAAAAGGGCTTACTTGTGGAAGAATTAGGCAGACGATCAGGATTTGCGAACGAGGAGCATCAGTGGCATATCACCTACATAAATGATCTACCAGTTGGTATACAGAATTATATGAACATGTTTGCTGATGATGCTAAGATAATAGGAAGGATAAGAAACTTAGATGATTGTCATGCCCTTTAAGAAGACCTGAACAAAATAAGTATATGGAGCACCACTTGGCAAATGGAATTTAATGTGAATAAATGCCATGTTATGGAATGTGGAATAGGAGAACATAGACCCCAAACAACCTATAAATTATGTGAGAAATCTTTAAAGAATTCTGATAAAGAAAGAGATCTAGGGGTGGTTCTAGATAGAAAACTATCACCTGAGGACCACAAAAAGAACATTGTGCGAGGAGTCTATGCCACACTTTCTAACTTCAGAATTGCTTTTAAATACATGGATGATGAAATACTAAAGAAATTGTTTACGACTTTTGTTAGGCCAAAGCTAGAATATGCAGCGTTTGTGTGGTGCCCATATCTTAAGAAGCACATCAACAAACTGGAGAAGGTGCAAAGACATGCTACTAAGTGGCTCCCAGAACTGAAGGGCAAGAGCTACGAGGAGAGGTTAGAGGCATTAAATATGCCAAAACTAGAAGACAGAAGAAAAAGAGGTGATATGATCACTACGTACAAAATAGTAACAGGAATTGATAAAAGTGATAGGGAAGATTTCCTGAGACCTGGAACTTCAAAAACAAGAGGTCATAGATTTAAACTAACTAAACAAAGATGCCAAAGAAATATAAGAAAATTCACTTTCTCAAACAGAGTGGTAGATGGTTGGAACAAGTTAAGTGAGAAGGTGGTGGAGGCCAAAACTGTCAGTAGCTTCAAAGCATCATATGACAAAGAGTACTGGGTAGACGGGACACCACGAGCGTAGATCTCATCCTGTAACTACACTTAGGTAATTACTTAAGTAATTACCTGCCCATGTGTCACACAAGCACAGTGAGGATAAGTGACATTTATTATGTAACAAAAGGCCATAACACAGTTGGACTGCCAGAAACCTCAAGCCCAGATATTAGCCAATGGCATGTTTGTAACATAAGCCAGAGCTAACAAAAATTCTGTTTTGATGAACAAATCCTCAGAGGAAGGAGAAACACAAATTTGAGGGGAGACAAAATATATTAAAACCTAATCCAATGACAAAGTACATAGGTAAAAATTATTGATAGCAGGCTAGAGTAGGAAAATCAGGTGTTGCGTGTAATGAAATGCCCTTTTCTGGTGGGCTCCTAGTAGTTTATCTAACATATGCACTGGCTAACTAAGCCTTAAACCCTGACACCAGGCTTCTGAGACCCAGAACCAGAATCCTGAGCTCAGTGATTGACCCAAAACTAGGTAAAAATTTACCAGAGAGCATAGGAACAAGAAAACAAGTGACTGCTCAAATGGAAAAATGTTTCCTCAGTAAACATGACAAATGATTGTTTCCATGGGAATAAACATCCTAACTATCAGGCACCTGACCCCCACCTGGTGACAACCCAGGTCACCCTCACTACACTGTCAGTAGGACATATTATGGAAAGGTAGATGGGACAAACCTCATTTACAACTAGACTTGTGTGAATTCCAAGAATGCTACTATGTAGAAGACAATGTAGAAAATGGAAAAACAATAATCACTGGACTGACTGGTGCACCAGAATCCTCACCTACTTCAGAATTGCTTTTAAATACGTGAATGGTAAAATATTAAAGAAATTGTTCACAACTTTGTGAGACCATAATTGGAATATACAGTTGTTGTATAGTGCCCATATCTCAAGAAGCACATCAATTATCTAGAAAAGGTCTAAATACATGCTCCTAATTGCATCTAGAACTGGAAAACATGAGCTATGAGGAAAGACTAGAGGTGTTAAATATGCCAAATCTAGAAGAAAGAAGGAAAAAAGTGGGATTTGATTACTGCATACAAAATAGTAAAATGAATTGACAAAGAGGAATTCCTGAAGCCTGCATCTTCAAGAACAAGGTCATAGATTCAAGCTAAGGAAACAAAGGTGCCCCCAAAAATATTAGAAAGTCCTTCTTTGCAAGCAGAGTGGTAGACGGTTGGAACAAGTTAAGGGAGAAGGCGGTGGATGCCAAAACCATCACTGGTTTCAAAGTGTCATATGACAAAGAGTACTGGGAAAATGGGACACCATGAACATAGCTCTCATCCTGTAACTACATTTGGGTAATTACCCCAACTAGGAGTGAGAACTTTCCTGTCTGAGAAAAGAATAGGGAAGAAAAGGTGAACAGCTAGGAAAGAACAACACTTGGGAAGAGCATCTTGGGCAATTGTGGTAAACAATGCAGCAAAAGAAAAACTGGGAGCCACTGAACCAAACGTGGAGCATAACTACCAAGAAGAACTCCTGAACCATACATGACCTGAGGACCTCCATCAATAAGCCCCAACCCCATCTATACAACCTTAGTCATATCAAGTTCATATCTTCATATGAACATATCATATGGTTCATATCTTGTGGTTCCTATAAAAAGTATTAATAAAAAACACTCACCACATCAACTCCATCGACGGCACAAAGTTTGAAAGACTGATTCTTGGCATCAAGAATAACATTGACCATGGCACACATTTCAGATGGGAGCACATAATCTGTTGAGACAAAACCAGTGCCTTTTTTAAGCCACTGCTGAAATGCCTGGTCTGTCCGAGTAATACATGACTCGATCATGTCACATGCCATCAACTGTTGGGCAAAATTTTTTAATATTAATAAATACATATTAATTAGTAAAAAAATATATATTTTTTGTCATTATTCAAATAACATTCAAAATTTAATTCAGCAAAAAACTAGCGTTGAATGTAATGAAACGCCATTTTCTGGGTGAGTCCCGGAGACTCCCCAGTGCTATCCAGGCTGAATGGATATGTAAAACTTTCTGGAATCAGTCAATGTGCATGGAGTTCTTGCCTACTGGGGACCATGTGCCAGAACCTGGCCCCCCTCAAGAAAGGCACAAGGAGTAATGGCCTATAGAAATACCCGTGTGGTTGGGAACATTCTATGTCTGCCATCGACTTGATCTGGCACCCAGAAAGGTTGGCGCCTCAAAATAAACCCCTATTCTGGTGAAACTATTGCTACCGAAAGCCGAACAAGTGGACGGAACTTCCCCAAACGAAAATTAGCAAACGAGCATGACGTCATCATGTCGCCGAATCGCTGTCTGCGCAACCCCTCCTTCTCGGGAGGAGTAAGGAAGAGCCCCAGACCCCTATGCCAGCAATCCATCCTTCAGTTTTTAGGCTGGACGTCAAAATATTCGAAAACACTGCCGACCGGAGGGTGGGAGGGATGCCGGGGAGCCTCTGGGACTCGTCTAGAAAATGGCGTTTCCTTACATTCAACGCTGGTTTTCTGGGGAAAGCCTCGTTGGCTCCTCAGAGCTAACCACCCAAAAACAAGGAAAACAGGGACTTACCCGGGTGGCGGTCAATCCTCGCTCCTTAACGCGAAGCAGAGACAACTGGCTGCAACCGCCGACCCAATGCAACGCAGGCCCTACGAAGTCCAGAGACATTGACAAGGTAGCGAGCGGCCAGGACCCTGTTTGACCTCCAAAAACCCTGGACCAGAATAGCAATCCAAGACATGTTGCCAACGACGGCAGCCAAATCAGCAAACTTATGCACGTCGTGGGCACGAGGATAGACTCCAGGCTGGCTAGCCTGGAGTCTATCTCCAGGCTAGCTAGCCTTAATAATCCTGCGGACGACCTCCAGGCTGGCTAGCCTTAATAATCCTGCGGACGACCTGGGAGACCCGAGCTCTGGAACAGGGAAGAATGGAAATCGGATCAACCCACAGCCCATCCAAGGCCACCAAAGCTGTGGCCCACAAATAATGGTGGAGAGCTGCAACAGGACACAAACTATGATGCACTCCCAGCCTGACCAATCAAGCATCAAATACCCAAGGAGCCCTCCAGAAAGCAGCAGTCTCATTCTTTGCCAGGAAAGAAGGAGACGGCTGCAACCGAACAACCGTACCACCAGGACCACAAGAGCAGAAACCCCTGTGCCGGAGGAGAGCATGAAGCTCCCCAACCTGACCCCCAGAGGTCAATGCCAACAGGAAAAGAGCATTGGAAAAACAATCCTGAACCGAAGGGGGCCACCACAAACCGAGGAGAAGAGAGGAAAGAGAGCACCCGGTCAAAGGACCAGGAGGGCTCAGGTGATACACAAAGTGAAACAACGCACGAGACAACTTGTGGAATGGAGCAGACATAACATCAATACTGAACGTAAGCTGGAGTGGCTCCTCCAGTGCCGCACAATAGGAGGCGACAGTATTCGGCATGAGATGACGGTCCTGAAACAACAACAACAACAAGGACAAAACAACCCTATCAGAGACCGAATTACACCTACGCAGTAATAGGAAAAACTGGAAGGACCGCCAGGAAACCTCATACTGCCACCGAGACGGAGCACGCAGATGGGAGACTAACAATGAAGCCACCTGCGCCCCACACAAATGGTGATAGACTCGAGTCAGAAAGACCAGATGCGAAGACTTGAAGAGAAGAGCGAACCAGCCTTGTAACGGGCAGGACCGATCTCCTGAAAGAGGCGGAACCACAGGAAGACCCTCGGGTTCGGACTCCAAGCAGCGCCTGAAACCAAGGCTGGGCCGGCCACCAAGGGGCCAAGAGAACTACTCTTCCCTGGTAAGTCTCCAAGCTAGTCAGGACTTGGAGCAACAGCTGAACTGGGGGGGGGGGAGGAAGAGGTACATGTAACCCCACCTCGCCCAGTCCTGCCTGAAGGCATCGACTCTGACGGCCTCGCAGTCAGGAAAGGGCGCCGTGTATACCCGGAGATGCTGACACAGAGAGATCCACTTACTGAAGCCTGAACACCCGGCAGAGGCAATGGAACAAGTCGGCGTCGATCGTCCATTCCATGGACAGGGGAATGAACCAGGACAGGCCGTCTGCCAGGACACTGGTCACCCAGCAGATGAGTCACCCAAAGAGACCAGCTCCAAAGAGCCAAGGACTGAATCAAACCCCAACGGTTCAGGCAATGAACCACCTGGGAACAGTCCGAATGAAGCCAGACCATCAATCCGCAAGAGACCCGAATCCTCTGGAGCGACATCCACGCAGCCACGAACTCCCGCACCATGCTGTGAGCCTGACAGGGACGGAACCCACTGCCCCTGGTCGGCCTGGTCAGCACTGGTCACAAAGCCCCAGCCCCTACGGGTTAAAAGACTCCTTTGCCATGACAGTAGTCAAAACTCTAGCCTTGAATATAATGAAATGCCTCTTACTGGAATGGGGGCAAGGAATGAAATTCTTGGTGTTTCCTGTTGTTGGTCACACTGAAATAGCTCAATACATGTAAGTCACACCAGCTCTTGCAACTTCTTAAAATTCTACTGTAAACCAGAGGCCAAAAACTAACAACTGCAAGGTTCACAGAAAGTAAATAAAGATTGGAGCAAATGATCCAACCAGTAGTTAGGTAATACACCTCCTAGGAACAGCTGACCACCACTAGATAGCAATACAAACAAGAGTGTCAACAAAACAAAATACGACAACCAATCCACCCAGTAGTCCGGTCACAACCCCACAAGTTACCACTTCCCACCCAGCACCAATAAAGCTGCTAGCTCCCATGACAACAAACCCTCAGTTATGAACCAAACAAATGCTCACCAATGCACTAGGCAAAGAGGGAGGGCCCAAGGAGCTACCAAGGTGCCATCCCAAACCAGAAAGAAGCATTTTATTGCATTAAAAGCAGGTTTTCTGGGGCCAAACAATAGCTCCTTGTTGCTAAAAAAAAAAGCTAAAATGGGATCCACCAGGAGCATAAGGAAAACAGAAGACATGTCTGAAAAGTAATAATAATTTATATTTAACCCCTAAACTGCTCTGGGCTATTTGGCCTTCAACATACACAGGCGTAAAAAAAAAAATATTGTTTTATAAAAGCGTTCGTTTGTGTTTCAAGTTCATGGGAAAAATAATAAAAAATCATGGCTGCAATAGAGTGGGGAAGTCTGGCAAAAAAAAAAAACAGCGTTGAATGTAATGAAATGCCATTTTCTGGGAGAGACCCGGAGGTTCCCCGGAGCTATACTGGGCTGATGTGCATATATTAGACCGTCGTAACAGTCAATCGATGGAGTTCTAGGACTACCGGACACCAGTGCCAAAACCTGGCCCCCCCCTCAAGAAGAGGGACAAGGAGCAATGGCCTAAAGACACCCTTGTGTAATTGGACACAGTCTTTGTCTACCATCTACCAGGTCAGGCACCCAGAAAGGTAGGAATTCCAAAACAAACTACTGCTGGTCAAAAACTGCAAACCAAAAGTCGAACTAGAAAGCAGAACTCCCCAATCAAAAACAAGCAAACAAGCATGACGTCACCACAGCTGCCACACATCCGTCTGTACAACCCCCCCAGCCCTTGTCCCCCTCCCGAGGAGTGACGTCATGCTTGTTTGCTTGTTTTTTCTTGCTTGATGGAGGTATTATATAATATATATATATATATGTCGTACCTAGTAGCCAGAACTCACTTCTCAGCCTACTATGCGAGGCCCGATTTGCCTAATAAGCCAAGTTTTACTGAATTAATATATTTTCTCTAATTTTTTTCTTATGAAATGATAAAGCTACCCATTTCATCATGTATGAGGTCAATTTTTTTTTATTGGAGTTAAAATTAACGTAGATATATGACCGAACCTAACCAACCCTACCTAACCTAACCTAACCTATCTCTATAGGTTAGGTTAGGTTAGGTAGCCGAAAACGTTAGGTTAGGTTAGGTTAGGTAGGTTAGGTTGTCGAAAAAACATTAATTCATGAAAACTAGGCTTATTAGGCAAATCAGGCCTTGCATAGTAGGCTGAGAAGTGAGTTCTGGCTACTAGGTACGACATATATATATATATATATATATATATATATATATATATATATATATATATATATATATATATATATATATATATATATATATATATATAATAAATTTTATATATATATATGTGTGTGTGTATATATATGACTGAAAACTCCACACCCCAAAAGTGACTCGAACCCGGGACAGCCAGGAGCACAATCCAACTGGTGTACATGATACTTTAACCACTCAACCATCCGTGACCGTACAAAAGACGATGTTAGCCGAGGCTATTTCACCGTCCCGACGGCACTTAGTAGTAATCTTCAGCATAGTTATTTCATCAAGTCACTTCACTTTGTGGGGTCACGTGAGCAACATGAATGCAATATATGGTTAGGGATCATTCAAGCTTGTTTGCATCTATATATATACATACTATATATGCAATTGACGATCACGAAACACTGATCATTTGTATGCGGAAAATCCACAGAGAAATGGAAAAGAGAGATGAACGTTTTGGCCGATCTGGGCCAAAACATACTACTGTATAACTATATATATATATATATATATATATATATATATGGTACCTCGGTTTGAGAGTTTAATCCGTTCCTGGAGACAGCTCGTATTCCGAAGCTAATTTCCCCATAAGAAATAATGGGAAATGAATTAATCCGTTCCTGACTACCCCAAAAACCCCCCTTCAAACTAAATTTTATACCTAATTCATCTAAATAAACCTACAAAACTATGTTCAAGTTATTACTTACCTTGCTGTTGGCGTATGGAAGATGGTGAGGAG